TTATTAATGAGACAGGTGAAGGTTCATGCAATCCAGCACATCTTCAGGAAGGCCAACAAGCCGGCACACATGATGGCTAAGGATGCACTTAGTGGCAACAATGGCGGGGATCTTAATATTATCTACTATGCCCCTCATTTTGTAACCGCTGCCTTAACTTTAGACTATGAAGTCCTCACTTATTTAGTTAAGTATGTTAACAAAGATGTTTGCTCTAGACTAGTATCTTTTGGAAACAAAAATATCTTTCGAGACATGCTATTGGACTGTAATAGCCAAGTAGGTTATGCCCTATCGGGCACTCTGAATGTTGTTACCTCTGCTATTATGTGTATATATAGTAAGATCCCTGTTGCCAAAAAAAAAAAAAAGAAATGAACTCTGGATCTTTATCCTTATATCTTCTTGTTGGAAAAAAAATTTGCACCTCTTGTTGGAAAAAATTTTTGCACCCAAGTTTGTTTTCCAACACACAACAAATATCTCGGGTGGGAAGCACTTTTCCAGCCTTAAGTAGTGTTGGCTTGTCGGGGTCCCAATAAGTGATGGAGCCAGAATTTTCACTAAGAAATATCAAAATATAAAAAAGATAATTATAGAAAGAAGCCAAGGGGATTTAACATATAATATTTATATACAAACAAAAAATAATTTTTTTTCTAATTACACAGTGCAAATTTCTAGCAAACGAGTGTCAATTGACACCCCTTGATTAAAGGTGACTCCGCCATTGGTCCGAATACAAGTATTGTACACCGGGTGGCGGGTGGGAACCCTATAAAAGAAAGAAAGATAAATAATTTGATATGACTCTTAGTGAAATAGTTCAAGATGTTTTTTTAAGAGTGTGGTTAAACGTCGAAAAAATTTATCGAGAAAACGTCAAGGAATGTGATGCAACACTTTTGGACGGGAAGAAACGCAAGTGAGAGAATGATGGGTCATACCCCTTTGAGTGCCTCTTTAGCTCGAGGGGCACAAATGTCATAACGGTTTTCGACATATTCGCACCAAATTTTCTCGACGTAACTCTTTTTTTCCTTTTTTTTTTAAGTTCTACAATTGTTTTAGTTTCTTCAGATATAAACAAACATCACATCAATTGGTCATTCCCTAAATTATTAAAGTTAACTGATACATGGATAATACTCATTATTGATTGATCATACCTACAGATGTGGTTTTTTCTATTTCTATGACACACTAATCATTTTTGACAAAGATATTTGAGGCTCCATCACAGAATGATTGCTGAATCGTATGTAGGGTATCCTATGGATTATGAAATAGAAGTAGAAAACAAGAGAAGAGCTAAAGTCAGATTTAGATATGACAGAAAGAGCATATAATTTTTGTGAAGGAAAAAACTGACTAAACTGTGACACAATTTCGGACTTATTAATCAACAAGACATCAATCCCAAACTAATTGACGTTCAACAAGACTGTATGAATCCCCTGCATCTGTTACTTTCAATTTTTGCTTCAGTTTATGTAAATTTGCCACATATTGAAGCTTAAGGAGTTAACCTGAACATGGCGAAAACCGGCGACAGCAAGTCACCGGCAGCTAATCCCAACCCTGAAACTACCTCTCCGCCACCGCCACCGCCACCTACACTTCAACAGCCGCAGACAAGAGATATGACAGAAAGAGCATATAATTTTTGTGAAAGAAAAAACTGACTAAACTGTGACACAATTTCGGACTTATTAATCAACAAGACATCAATCCCAAACTAATTGACGTTCAACAAGACTGTATGAATCCCCTGCATCTGTTACTTTCAATTTTTGCTTCAGTTTATGTAAATTTGCCACATATTGAAGCTTAAGGAGTTAACCTGAACATGGCGAAAACCGGCGACAGCAAGTCACCGGCAGCTAATCCCAACCCTGAAACTACCTCTCCGCCACCGCCACCGCCACCTACACTTCAACAGCCGCAGACAAGAGATATGACAGAAAGAGCATATAATTTTTGTGAAGGAAAAAACTGACTAAACTGTGACACAATTTCGGACTTATTAATCAACAAGACATCAATCCCAAACTAATTGACGTTCAACAAGACTGTATGAATCCCCTGCATCTGTTACTTTCAATTTTTGCTTCAGTTTATGTAAATTTGCCACATATTGAAGCTTAAGGAGTTAACCTGAACATGGCGAAAACCGGCGACAGCAAGTCACCGGCAGCTAATCCCAACCCTGAAACTACCTCTCCGCCACCGCCACCGCCACCGCCACCTACACTTCAACAGCCGCAGACAAGAGATATGACAGAAAGAGCATATAATTTTTGTGAAGGAAAAAACTGACTAAACTGTGACACAATTTCGGACTTATTAATCAACAAGACATCAATCCCAAACTAATTGACGTTCAACAAGACTGTATGAATCCCCTTCAGTTTATGTAAATTTGCCACATATTGAAGCTTAAGGAGTTAACCTGAACATGGCGGAAACCGGCGACAGCAAGTCACCGGCAGCTAATCCCAACCCTGAAACTACCTCTCCGCCACCGCCACCTACACTTCAATAGCCGCAGACATGAGATATGACAGAAAGAGCGTCACAGCCACAGCTACAACCACCGCCACAAATGCCGTCACAGCCACTGCCACCACCACAGCAACCTCAATCTGACCTTTTGCCCCCAAAGCGTCCCCAACAACTGGAATCCTCCCCAAACCCATCCACCCCATCCACCACCGATTCCAAAGACGTGACTCCCGCTACCCTCTCTTCCCGCCTTACTGAGCCTGATTATATTTACATCCCCAGTCACTCCCGTTGGTTTTTGTGGAATAGCATACATGAAAGTGAGGTTCGCTTTCTTCCTGAATTCTTCGACGGAAGATCACCTTCTAATAACCCTAGGACTTACAAATACTATAGGAATTCCATTATTCGTAGGTTCAGAGATAATCACACTAAAAAAATAACCTTTACTGAGGCTCGCAAGACCATTATTGGTGATGTGGGTTCCATTCGTAGGGTTTTCGATTTCCTGGAGACATGGGGCTTGATTAATTACACTGCTAACTCTTCCAAATCGCTGCTCAAGTGGGAAGAAAAAGAGTCCAAGTCTACTGCTGCTTCCGTGGCTCCGCATAATGCTGATGCTAATGGAACTGCTCCCACTGATTTTACTGCCGCCAAGAAGAGACTTTGCAGTGCGTGCAAATCAGCTTGCAGCATTGCCTGTTTTGTTTCTGATAAGTATGATTTGACTCTTTGTGCAAGATGCTATGTTCGTGGTAATTTCAGAGTCGGTATGAATACTTCAGATTTTCGGCGCGTTGAAATTAGTGAAGAAGTTAAGACAGATTGGACCGACAAAGAGACTTTGCACCTTTTAGAAGCTCTTATGCATTATGGCGATGATTGGAAGAAGGTTGCCGAGCATGTTGGTGGCAGAAGCGCGAAAGAATGTGTGGCTCGATTTGTGAAGCTTCCTTTTGGTGAGCAGTTTATGGGCCCTCCCGTGTCTGCAGAAGTGGATAGTGAACCTGGGTCTGAAACTATGCTTCTTCCATCCAAGAGAACGCGCCTCACACCCCTTGCTGATGCTAGCAACCCAATTATGGCTCAGGCTGCTTTCCTTTCTGCTCTAGCGGGAAAAAAGGTTGCAGAATTAGCAGCACATGCCGCTGTTACGGCTTTGTCTGAGAACAGTGAGGGAATAATGAAAGGGAGTCTAGCATCTCTACCTGGTGTCTTGGAGAAGCAAGTAATGGTATGCTGCAAATCTGCTATGTCAACTAATGTGTCTTCTTTGTGCATTGTGGGCTGCGTTCTGCCAGGGATTTCTGACAGTATTTTTGCAGTATTTAAACGGACGGCACTTCCAATGGGCATGCCAAGGATACACTTGAAAGAGCTCTTGTTGAAGCACGGTCTCAGCTTGAGGAGGAGGCACAGGACCTAGAGAGAGCCGTCTCCGATGTGGCTATCGAGACCAGGGAAATTGAGGACAAAATTGCTGGTTTTGAGGAACGTGATTTACAGATGGAAAAGGAGTGGCAACAGCTAATGCAGCTTAAGAACCTGATCTTCTTTGATCAACTTACTTTGCTGCTAAATAAAGTTGGTGCTACAAAAGCTGGAGAAACCATTGGGGAGGAGGTGATGAATGTTGAGGCAGAATGACAAATCCCCTTGGTATAATATGGTCTCTTAGTTGCTTACCAACATAGTGGGATCTAGTTATTCATCAATTATTAGGTAGTGGCAAATTCAAAGGAATCAGAAAGCAGAATTAATTTCTTTAGCTGCTAACCCCTGTTCTATTCTATATTTCCTGACTTACATGTTGTATTCCCCTCTCCCAGTTCCCTGAGAAGCAGCAACTGTTGCCTATATTAAAAGAAGGGAAATTTTCAAAAAAAAAAAAAAAAAGGAGATAAAATTGAAGAGCAACATAAAACTCCCTTTAAAACCATGGTCTTCCACTGTTTAGGGTCACAACAGTTGGAAATCGAGAAAGAAAATTATTTTACTTTCCTCTTCAGACACTCTGAAATCCAGTCACTACAAGAGATGGTGTAACAACCCAGTTTACTAGTGATATTGTCCGTTTTGGGGCCAAGACCTTCACGGATTTAAAATGTCATTATGGTCTAAAACTGTTTACTTATCTGAAATTTGCACACACCCCCCCCCCCCCCCCTCCTTAGGTAATACCATATGTAACAGTCTAGCTCACTAGTGATATTATTCGCTTTGAGCCTAGACCGACACAACTTTAAATTGCATAATTAGGGTCTAAGACTTGTTTACATATACACTGAGCATTTATCCCGTGTTTTATTGATATGGGATTCGCCTAAGGTGTCACAAACGGACTTTTTTTGGCAACTAAAATCTGTCACAAATAGTGAACAACCCCAAAATGTCGCCACAAAAAGTTAAATTTCAGTGACATAAATTGCCACAAATAACGAATTAAGTCACCACAAGAAGTACCCAAAAAAATGCCCAAAAGAGGTTGCCACTGATACGCGGACATTGGCAAGGGTACTACCTTTATGTAAAATGCATAGTTCATGATTCCAGATTTGACATCATTTTCATTTACAGTTAATATGAAGCCACAAGAGGGTCAAGGGGGAGGGGAAATACTAAGACTTACATACAAGAAAGAGGACTAGGAGAAACAACTGCTGGCAAATTTACATGTAAAGTTGCTTGTATTCCCAGTAAGAATGAAGTTGATTTGGTGAAAGCAATGCATAAGAAGCCGCTTCTATAAAGAAACTTGACTTGATTCACTGAGAGCAAAACTGACTCTGACTTGTGCTTTGGCTTGAAAAATCAACCTTAACATATGAAAGCAACAGTTTCAGTAAAGCAGAAGGGAAATATTCAAAAATATAAGCAAAGAGGAATTACAGCCATGCTCAGCTTATCCGGTATGATCACAAAGTTGTTGAGATTAAGCTAACACAATATCCATCTCTGAGTTGGCAGGTAATAAAACATCTCATGATGCTTTGATGTAGGCTACCGTTTCATACATGAAGGCGCTAGCAAGTTGTCACATTGTATGTGATGAAATAATGTTAAATTTTCACTAGTTTTCTAACAGCTATGCCACCAAAATGCAAGGGTAGGAAAGAAAAGAGAAAAGTTGACAAAATAATGTATATGTAATTGGTGCATCTGACTCAAAACATGAGAAAACATATAAAGTACCAATTACATATACTATAGACCTAGATTAGATCTCATTTGCCTGACCGTCTCAATACCATCCAAGGATTTTTGACGACTAAGCAAATGCTGTGAACAAGCATATGAAGCACAACGCTCACATTTCAGAGTCTATTCTTAATCAAGATTAGTGTCATCTGTGTTCTTTCAAAAATTCTAAGGAATAAGTACCAATGTATAGGCCTTAAAATTAGAGGATAAACCTGCTGCATCCTTTCTTTCCACCGGACATGCTAATCCCGATCAAGAATATGAGATATAACTTATAAGGTATAAGGAAAATAGTAGAGGTCATAATAATACCATCAGTTCTTTTGCTTATCTTCATCATAAATATACTTTATTTGATAGTGGACAGAGTTATCTGGTACCTATTGCTGGTGGGAGGTGGCAGGTATCCCGTGGAATTAATCAGGGTGTGTGCAAGCTGGCCCGGACATCACGGTTATCAAAAATAATATATACTTTATTTGGACAAAAGGAGAATATTGCAAATTCTGTATCATCTTTCCCCGTATGATTCTCCAGGCCCGTTCATTAATTTGAACTAAAAGAAGCCACTTGGTGTTGACTCTGTAATGAGGGTCAAACATAACCTATAACCAAGCAGAAATCAACCCAACACGACCTGTCTCTAAGTATAATCAGAGAAAGAACAACAGGAACAATAATCTGTCAAAGAGCCCCAAACACTGGCAAATTAGGAGGGACCGCGATGGGGAATACAAGCCCCTAATTTCAAAATTAAACGTTTACACTAATATTATAAGTTCATAGAGATACCCCTCGAGAAAATCTAGCAGTTGCCTTTTATTTTTCACTAAACTTCCACATTACCCCCTTCCCTACATAAGTTGGCCCCCGATTCTCACACTCCAAGTGTTGTCACTCATCAGTCACAATCTAGAAGTTTTGGATCACACTGTTCAGTTGATTATACCCAATTACTCATACAATTAAGCATCTCCATATGCATATAAAGACTTCTTTTATTAACGCATCAAACGGAACCTTGGAACTCCTTAGACTCTGAAAAATGGGAAAATTTAGTCTTTTGTTTTTTTTCATCGTCCGATCATATGGAGAAAAAAAAGTAAGGCCCATCAAAAGGAACCCCAGAAGAACCCCAGAAGGGCCATTACTGTACAAAGTTAAAGATTGTGCCAGTACCAACATCAATTCCTAAAGTGTATTTCATCTCTCTCTCTTGTGGACTAGGGAGCCCATTTTCTACTGCGTTCTCTTTAGGAGGTACATTGACATAAGGAGCTAAAAAGCTATGAACTCAGTAATTATAAATGTCAGTGCTGCAGTATGATCATCACATCTTGACAGCAATGACAGGTGACTTTAAACAGAGAGGTGCTATGTGCTGCAGGTGGAATTAAGCAGGGCCAGGCAAGCAGTTGCTAAGGTACACTGGCGGAGCTACAAATGAATTGGTATTTGAGAACTAAAAGAGCTCTACTACCTCATTGACATTGCAAAATTTTGAAAATGTTCCTTCACCCAACGTAATTGTGGAGTAAATATAGATATAAGGATACATCTAGTAATCAGGGTTGGTGAAGTTTGGGGGACCAACCAAGTATCAAAAAGAAAGAGAGAAAAATCGGATATGAATAAGGGATAGGCAAGTCCCATTCAATCGATTCCTAATTCAATAGGGGAATCAAACATTTAACTATTTACGATGTCTCCCGCGGGGACTTTCTGATTCAATTCCGCTGCTAGGGTGAGCTAACTCCAAAAAACCCGTCCACAGTTCGGATTTCAGGCCTCTATCAAAGCTTGAGGCTTAGAATTAATTGATAGATAAGGATGGTGTTGTTCCACCAAATGGGAGCACAAACAGCATTACCACATGGTTGACAACAACAACAACAAAAACATACCCAGTAGAATCCTACTAGTGGGGTCTGGGGAGAGTAGAGTGTACGCAGACCTTACCCCTACCCCAAAAAGGGTAGAGTGGCTGTTTCCGGGAGACTCTCGGCACAACAGGAGAGACAATAATATCAGAAAAGAAACAAAAGAAAAGGCATGTAACAACAAGAGATGCCAGAAAAAAAATAACAACAACGAATAAGTGACAAGACATTAACACAAAACTAATGCAAAACAACAATGTGAACACAACATAGACCGCTAACAAACCTAAACAAAACTCTATCATACTATCCGGTACAAAGAGGGAAGAACTCTCGACTACCCCCTAGCCTGCCACCCTAATGCTCGACCTCCACATGTTCCTATCAAGAGCCATGTCTTTGGAAATCTGAAGCCGCGCCATGTCCTGCCTGATCACCTCGCCCCAATACTTCTTAGGCCGCCCTCTGCCTCTTCTCGTACCTGCCAAAATCAACCACTCACACCTCCTAACTGGTGCATCTAGGCTTCTCCTTCGCACGTGTCCGAACCATCTAAGACGCGCTTCCTGCATCTTATCGTCTACGGGAGCCACGCCCACCCTCTCCCGAATATCTTCATTCCTAACTTATCCAGCCTAGTGTGCCCACACATCCATCTCAACATCCTCATTTCTGCTACTTTCATCTTCTGAATATGTGAATTCTTGACTGGCCAACACTCAGCTCCATACAATATGGCCGGTCTAACCACCGCTCTATAGAACTTACCTTTGAGTTTCAGTGGCACATTCTTGTCACACAGGACTCCAGACGCTAACCTCCATTTCATCCACCCCACCCCATACGGTGCGTAACATCCCCGTCGATCTCCCCATCTCCCTAGATAATTGACCCTAAGTACTTAAAACTTTCTCTCTTGAGGATGACCTGTGAGTCAAGCCTGACTTCCATATCCGCTTCCCCCGTCACGTCGCTGAACTTATATTCTACATATTCCGTCTTAGTCCTACTCAACTTAAAACCTTTAGACTCAGGGGCCTGCCTCCATACCTCCAGTCTCCCATTAACGTCGCCTCGTCTCTCATCAATCAGAACTATATCATCAGCGAACAACATACACCATGGCACCTCTCCTTAGATATGATGTGTCAGTACGTCCATCGCCAGAGCAAATAAGAACGGGCTGAGCGTAGATCCTTGGTGTAACCCCATAACCACCGGAAAAGGCTCTGAGTCACCTCCCACAGTCCTAACCCGAGTCATAGCTCCATCATACATATCCTTTATCACCCTAATGGAAGCCACCGGCACACCTTTCACCTCTAGACACCTCCAAAGGACGTCCCTAGGGACTTTGTCATACGCCTTCTCTAGGTCAATAAATACCATATGCAAATCCCTCTTCCTATCCCTGCATAGTTCCACCAACCTCCTGATAAGGTGGATAGCTTCCGTAGTAGAACGACCCGGCATGAACCCGAACTGGTTTTCCGATGTAGACACCACCCTCCTTATCCTCCCTTCCACCACCCTCTCCCAAACTTTCATGGTATGACTTAGTAACTTGATACCCCTATAGTTGTTACAATTCTGGATATCCCCTTTGTTCTTGTACACCGGAACCATTGTACTCCACCGCCACTCATCAGGCATCCTCTTTGTCCTGAAGATAACATTAAACAACTCAATCAGCCACTCCAAGCCTGCTCTACCCGCATATCTCCAAACTCTACTGGAATCTCGTCTGGTCCGGTCGCTTTGCCCCGACTCATCTTACCCATCGCACCAACGACCTCCTCAACCTTAATACGCCTACAATACTTAAAGTCTAGGTGACTCTCGGAGTGCCCCAATTGCCCTAACACGATGTTTCCATCCCCCTCTTCATTCAGAAGATTATGAAAGTACGACTGCCATCTTTGCCTAATCTGGGCCTCTTCCATCAATACTCGACCGTCTTCATCTTTGATGCACCTCACTTGATCCAGATCGCGAGCCTTCTTCTCTCTCGCTTTGGCCAACCGAAATAACTTCTTATCCCCACCTTTGCCCCCAAGTTCCTCATAAAGCCGACCAAAAGCAGCAGTCTTAGCCTCTGTGACCGCTAATTTTGCCTCCTTCCTAGCCTCCTTATATCTCTCTTTGTTCGCTCTCCTCTGATCCTCGTCGGTGCTCTCTACTAACTTAATGTAAGCCACTTTCTTGGCTTCCACTTTACCTTGGACCACGTCATTCCACCACCAGTCGCCTCGGTGCCCTCCAGAGTAACGTTTCGAAACTCCTAACACCTCTCTTGCTGTCTCCCTTATGCAGTCTGCCGTCGCCGTCCACATAGCGCTAGCGTCCCCACCATTCTTCCAGGCACCCATATTTGACAGCCGCCCCTCCAACTCCTACGCATTATCCTTAGACAAAGCTCACCACCTGATCCTCGACTGTCCCCGTACAAACCTCTTCTTCCTCTTCATCAAGATACCGACGTCCATCACCAGGAGCCTATGTTGATTTGCGAGGTTCTCACTCGGGATCACCTTGCAATCCTTGCACAACCCCCTATCACACCTCCTGAGGAGGAGATAGTCAATCTGAGTCTTAGCCACCATACTCCGGAAAGTAACCAAATGTTCCTTCATATCAATTGAGGAAACTTGGGTTTCTAAAAGGCAATTTTTTTTATAGTTAATATAGCAAATGTTACATGTTTTCTAGGATTATCTAAAAATGCCAAACTTGTTGACAAACCCAAGGGAAAAGCCACGGGAGAGAAGGGGCAGTCAGAAATAGTTCCTGAGGTTCTATTCAAAGGAAATTGACTTCAGTAAATCTCCAAATTGCTAACATCAAATTACTTAGTCTTTTATAAATTAGACCAATTTGAATATTTTATTGCTTCACTCTATGTTTCAGCCAACACTTCAAAGCAGAGGAGGGATAACAGAATGAAACCTCAGTAAACATTTAACCTGCTTGTATTCATGCACCATTACTCATTAGGCCTGCTTAAGGTAGTTTTTTTTTTGTTCTGAAACGACTAACTAGCTTATAAACGACTAACTAGCAATCAAAAAGATCATACTTATAAAGAAATGAATGTAGCAATCAAAAAGATTAACAAAGCTGGTTGTTGAGTAGGACAACAAGTAATTTAAGTTCAACTTCAACTTGTGATCTACCAACAAGCAATCAGGCTTCAGATTTTAGTATCAATATAGCATGTTTACTTTTGCCTTAGATGTGAATCTTTTTCTTTTTTTGATTTGCACCGGGTGTCCGAGTCTTATGAGCCCCGACTAATCCCGGGGGTGCACAGGCCCTCGGCAAGGAGTTTCCCGCAAGTGCACCACGGTTAATTCAGGTTTTACCCAGTTCGATGGCCCTCAGAAATTGTTTGCACCCAGTGGATTCGAACTTGAGACCTTGAAAGGGAGCATACCCCAAGGCTCAAGTCAATTGCCACCGGGCCAACCCCTGATGTGAATCTTGTGTCCACACCATTTAGTATGTGCAACATATGTTCCTACTACTAAATCAACTGCAAATTTCACACTCCAGTAATCTTGCAAAAATAGAACATACCTCTTCAAACACTCACCCTAATTTGATTATTCCTAAAACAATTTTGGATTTGGCAGACCAACACGAACAGGGAGAATAGATTCCTCAACTGTAGTGTTTCATTATCAGGCAGAGACAACAAACCTTAATTTAAACTAGTTTGACAATTTAATCCTCTTAAATCATTCTACATTATGGGTCTTAATATAAGCCATTCTATCAACTACATATCCTGGCAAAAATCCTATGACGAAACTAAACACGAATTTACATGTCATATTATGCAGCCTAATGAAATTTTGGAAGAGCAGTATGCAATACTCCCCCTCTTCCATATTCTTAATTAGTATTAGCGCAAAGCTCCTTATAAATGGAAGGAAACAACAATACATTTTATTTCTAGCTTCCTACTTCCTACCTTTCTTTCTATTTTGTTCTTGGCATTCATTCTCACAGCTTAACAGAGGATCACTAGAAACACATTCACCAATAACAAAAAGAACACAAACACATTTAAGTGACGACTTATCAAAAAAATAAAAAGCATACATCATGTAGTATGAACTTAACCAAGGAAGGCCGGCATAATTAGCTATCTGAGTTTCAGTTTCAGCAACATTACCATTTGAAGACTCCCCTTTTTTAACCCACACAGTTTTCAACATTTTTCGCGGTTCATACCTTCTGGAGGTACTCCCATATCTCCACTTGTCACCACTATACACTCCGACACTCGGCCTCCTATGACCACCGTACCTCCTCCTATCACTCAATGACAACTTCCTAACATCTTTCTCAATCTTATCTATCAAGGGTACATCTCTCCTATTATCAACATATCCATGAAATGCGCCACCTCTCACTACCACGTTCTCGGTACTTCTTTCTTTCACATCAACTAAAAGTTCTTCCTCCTTCTCGTATTTCTTATCTACCTTGTTTTCACATACCACCTCCACCATACAAACAGTAGCCACTTCTTTAAATTCCTTATACTCACCACTCCACTTATATTTACCCTTGGATAATTCTCGACCACCATTTTTCTCACTATCCGCTGTCATGATTTCTTCCTTGGCCACATAAATTCTTGAAACTTTAGCCATATCTCCTGTTCCATCTCTTTCAACCCTAGGTTCCCTTTTTCGGAAATAGCCCTTTCTCTTCTCATGTTCATTATCTACCTTGATTTCTCCTATCTCCTCCACCATGCAAACAGTAGCCACTTCTTTGATCTCCTTGTATTTTCCATTATACTGATATTTACCCTTAGATAATTCTCTTTCACCATTTTTCACACTATCCACTATCATTATTGCTTCCTTGGCCACATTAATAGTTGAATCTTTAGCCACATTTCCCGTTACATCTCTTTCAATCCTAGGTTTCCTTGTCCTAAAATAGCCCTTTTTCTTCTCATGTTCCTTATCTACCTTGTTTTCTCCTACCTCCTCCACCACGCAAAGAGTAGCCACTTCTCTGACCTCCTTATATTTCCCATTCTGCTGATATTTAACCCTAGATAATTCTTTTCCACCATTTTCGACGCTCTCTACTATACTGATTTCTTCCTTGGCCACATCAAAGGTTGAAACTTTAGCCATATTATCTGTTTCATCTCTTTCAACCCTAGGTTTCCCGTTTCGAAAATAGCACTTTTCCTGTTTCTTCTTAAATTTTTCCCTTGATCCTCCATCAATACTTTCTTCAACCACAGGAGCAGTGATTTTGACCTCCTTTGACTTAGGTTCTTAGCAATCAAACCCACCTCACGCCAACCTTTTCCACTGTGATTTTCACGATTTTGCAGATTTTTGTGTTTTTGATGATTTTGAAGAACTGGGTTTTGTGGGTTTTTCTTTTCTTGTTTTTCCTGTTCTTGTTGTTTTCTTTGTTTCTCCTTGAGCCATCGTTCTTGGAGTTGGGCTATGGAGACGTAATTGGAGGGGAGTGAAGGGTAATTTTCAGAATTAGACTCAGCCATTGAAGATTATCAAATGGAGAAAAACTTTTTGAAGAACTAATAAGAATGGTGCTGAGGCATGATCTGGTGGAATTAAAAAAAATGAAGAGTTTTAAATTGAAAAAAATGAAGAGTTTATGGTTTTGAAGTGTATAGGCATTAGGCGCAGAAGTAGTGTGTCTGCGATTGGCTGTCGCCTCCCTTTTTCCCCAATAAAGAGATTAAATGAGCGAACCGAACACTACTTCTGCGCCTAATGCCTATACACTTCAAAACCATAAACTCTTAGTAATACATTTTATAATATAAAATGTAGTATAAAAAAATTAAATGAATAGTACCCTTTATATAATACATTTTATATTATCTAGATATTTTTTATGTAGATATTCTGTCCATAATTTAAATAATTATATCTTATTATAATATTTAATTAAGTTCACTAATATTATAAATTGAGTAATTATATTATGAATTTATTACAAAATTTATCACTGCTTTTTTTATTTATTATTTTAATATTTTATGTATTAAGATGCATGTAATGTATATTAGTGTGCATGTGTGTCATTTTAAGTTTCACATTTCCTATTATTCTCTATTATGTACATATAACTTTAATTTTTTATTTTTTATTAGGTACAATTTTTTTAAACTGTAATTAAAATTCATGTAAAGTACAAAAGGATAACTTCTAGAAACTTATTATAAAATTTATTTTTATTTTTCTTTTTCACCTATTATTTTTTTATTACCCGCACTATATAATTTACAAATTTTTTACTCTCCCTTATTCGCAATAATGGAAATAAATTGATTTTTATTGCTATTAATAAAATTACTTATACGAGTAAATTACTTATCATAATTTTTTCTATTTTTTTCTTTTATTTTATTATTGAACTTCATTAACTTATAAGGTTAATAACTACTTTTCACTCTTTTGGTTTCAAAATAATTTCTTGTTTGTAGGTAAGTCCACAGCGTAGATTAAAATAAAAATATTATTACATTAAAGAGTAAAAGTAAAAAAAATAAAAATTGTAGAGGATAAAATAGGCATGTTAAAGAGTCAACTTTTATATAAGGAGGAGAACAATAACTGTTCAAAGTTGAAGGATGAATTTAATTTTTAAAACAAACATTGAGGATGTAAATGATTTTTAGCCTTTTCAATTTTCAAACATTTCCCCTTTCCTTTAATTGTTAGTTTTTTTTTTTCGTAGTAACTGTGAATACTATCATTTCCAAACCACATTAACTCACACACCTACAGAGCACCCATGTATCAGTCTCGCATTACTAGCATCAGTAGGTCTCGCATTCTATTTACAAATATGCTCGATGAAATCTCTGTATCTCCTAGCCAATTTTCCCTCCCTATACATTTGAATCCTCTCTATAACTATGCTCTTTATCTGTTGTAATACAAAATGCCCACTAACTTTATGTTTTCTAAAGAAGAATAAGTTCCTACTCTGCCATATATCATATATCATAGCTCCTACCACTGCCGCAGTCACTTCCTTTCTTAATTTGCTTCATTTCCTGCGCTTGATCTTCATCAATGTACCAGGGAGATCATCATGCTGTGTAATGTGCACTCTCATCCATTCCTTCACTTCTTCCCCACGGCCTTTTTGCCCACGCACAGTGTAAGAGCTAGCGTTGCGCATCTTCAAGACTATTCAGTTCACAAAGTCCACATGTTCCATCTGCACAGTGAATTCCCATTTTGATGATTCTGTCTTTCGTTAATAGCTTCTTCTGCATAGCCAGCCATAGTATGAATCTGTGCTTGGGCTACATAATTCTGTTCCAAAATCAAATCTGCAGTATTCCACTTTAGGCTTTCTCCTACTAGTTGGTTGCACCCCATTGAGATCGAGTTCCTTCCATTACTAGTAAGACAATAGCTGCCATTCTTGTACCATCCTTGCATTTGTTGTTTTATACCATGTAGCTTCCTCCAATACCAGCGGCTATCCTGTGTTGGTTGATGTGTCCATAAATCACCATTTGCTCTCATATAAATGTCGTGTATCCACTTCACCCATAATACTTCCTTCTTGTTAATCAGTAACCATATTAACTTTCCAACAGAAGCTATGTTCCACAATTTATAGTTCTTAATATTTTGCCCACCTTGGTTCTTAGGTCGATATACTTTATCCCAGGCTACTAAAGGTATCTTCTTCTTCTCACTAGTGCTCCCCCATAAGAAGTCTCTGCATTTCTTATCTACTTCCTTCAGTACACTTTGTGGGAAAATGAATACTGCCCCCCAAAAGTTATGTAATGAAATTAGTACAGACACAACCACCTGTAACCTCCATGCATAAGAAAGGTGTATGTTTGATATTGTGTTCAGCTTCTCAGTGATCTTCACACACAATTGGTGACAGTCCATTTTACTCCACCTCTTTGGTGATAATGGGAGACCTAGGTATCTCATAGGAAATGTGCCACTTGAATAGCCTGTGATGTCCAGCAATTTCTATTTTAACTCAACATCCACTCCTGAAATATAGATGCTTGACTTATTTGTATTTGCCTCCAGGCCTGTAGTCTCTGAGATATGTTTAAGTGCTTCCATTATTCTCCTAACAGCTGCTTCATTCCCTTTGCAAAACATCATTAAATCATCTGCAAATGTCAGGCCAGTGAGTTGTTGTTCCTTGCACATTGGGTGGTATCTAAAATCTGGCAATTGGCTCATCCTCTTTAGAATCCTAGATAGGTATTCCATCACCATAACAAAGAGCAATAGGTATTCTCAGGCTCAATTTGCAGTTGTTCCGCTCATCATTGATTTGAGTCACTGCCTGTACCAGTCTTCTCTGTTTAATAATGGAGAAGAAGTACTTAGTATTATTATCCCCAAGTCTAATCTATGTGGCCTTGCTTCTCTGCATCAGAAAATTTTCTGCCATAATTAATGATTCCCTGAAATTATCCCTTGCATCTTTCTCCTTCTTCTGTAGCTCCTGATCTAATGGTTTTTCCAGTAACATTGCTTGCAGTTTCTGCACTTCCTCCCTATCTTTGTTTGCTTTATTTATGACATTGCTAAAGTTACTCTGGTGTAGTGTTATGAGTTTCTGTTTCAAAAGCCTTTAATTTCTTTACTATTTGATACATCTTACACCCATTCACTTGCATTTTCTGAATCATCTCCACCACTAATGGACAATGGTCACTCACCCCTTCTAGAAGAGCATGAGTTTTACATTGTTCCATTGTTTCTATCCATTCCCCATTAACAAAATCCAATCTTTTTTTTTGAGTAGATTCTATTTTGTCCCCTGTTTGTCATTCCATGAGTACTTGTACCCATTATTTGGTAACTCCATAAGTATGCTATTGTCAATACATTCCTGGAAATCCACCACCTCACTTAGTGCTACTTGACTCCCTCATATTATGTTCTCTTACTGCAATACAGTATTGAAGTCCCCCTGTCACACTCCTTTTTTTACAAAACCTCACTAACCCTCTTAAATAAATAAAAAAAGTTTGTGAAGCTTGAAAAGGGTTTTTAATTAAAAAGTGACAAAAATTGTGTTCAAAAGGAAATAACTCAGAGTCGCCACCTGGTATTTGATTTTGGTGTGCCAGGCCACCGGTTTTTTTAAAAAATATTTTCCTGATTATCCATGGAATCTGGCAACCCATGCTCATCTGGTGTACATAGTCCCATAATGCTTTTCTCTCATTTCTGAGATTATGTGCATACACAAATGCGACCATGAATGTGAGTTGCATAGGAATGTACTTTACTTGGCACGTTACTGCCTGTGCAATTTCGTTTATGGTTCTCACCTCATACCATTCTGGTTTCCATACTAGCACAACTCTACCATTATAGTGTGATATATGATTACTATAGTATTGCCATCCTACAAACATGGTATTAATAGTATTCTCCACCTTATTACTCTTTAATCTTGTTTCTCGTAACCCAACTAATCCAATATTCTGGTCATTACAACAGTATTTAACCTCTTTCTGCTTATTGAGGCCATTGAGGCCTCTTGTATTCCAACTCATTAGCTTAACCATTCCCTATAAAGATAATGGTATCACTCTCTTCTTTACACCTTCATTAGCAGTACTTGTTTATGCATTATCCTTCTCCAGGTTCTGAAAAGTATTTGCCACAGGCACCACTGAATGTGTCTGCTTAACCACATTGTTTTTATGTGGTTGGACCCATCCTTGTTGCCCTCTCCTGTGATTCTGCCTTTGGCATTTACCCTGCAAATCCTCCCTCCCCATTTCTTGAACTCCCTTATCCTCCTGTGCTTCACTGTATTCACCCCATTTTCAGCATCTGTTGTGTAATCATCTCTGGTTGTTTGCTTCCTTCCTATTCCTTGACTTCTATTTTTTTCTTGCTTTTCCTACAAATATATTTTGTATGCCCATATTTGTTGCAACTAGAGCATATAGAATGCTTCCACTCATATGTTACTCTTTGTTCAATCACATTACCTTTCTCATTTCTAAAGTAAATCACCTCTGGCAATTGTTCACCAACTTTCACTTCAGCCAAAAACTTTGCAAAGTTCAGTCCAAGTTTCTTCTCAGTATTCTTGTCCATGAGAGGCTTCCCAATTAGGCTGCCAATTTTGCTCAAACTCTTTGCACTCCAGTACTTAAAGTCTAATCTCGGCAATTTGACCCAAATAGGAACTGAAAATAGCTCCTCTCGAGTAAATTCCATATCTGCATTCCAAGCCTTCACTATGAATGGTTTGTTATCAAAATGGTATATCCCCCTTGAATGACTTCATTCTTCCCCTCCTCATTCTCAAATCTAACCAGAACTATGCCATTCTTCATCATTACTATTTTGTTTATACTTAATTTCCCCCAGTTTCTCTGTATATATCCATTTAGGACTGCAAATGGAGAGTGTGCGCCTAATACATAGCACACTATAGCATTCCTCCAGTACTCAATCTCAATAACAATATTATCATCTTCAATTTCCACTATCCTCTGTTCCTCGACAATTGTAGGGTTAACAAACTCATGCTTAAAGCCAGCTTTTGTTATTTTCGATATATAAAAATTATCCCACACAGATGCCCTAGATTTTGATTCCTTACCTACATTCTTTTCAGCAAGTTCAACTTCATCAGCCCATGATCGTCTTCCCCCTGTACCCAAGGTTTTTGTTGCTTCATTCCAATTCTCCACTCGCTGCTTTACCAGTGTACTCTTCTGAGCTTGTGAGCTCA